AGACAGAGAGAGAGAGAGAGAGATAGATAGATAGATAGATAGATAGATAGATAGATAGATAGATAGATGGATGCTTGCCTGTTGTGTGGCATAAAATGCTACTCATCGTTTTTTACAACACAGACAAACTGCAGAGAAATCTGGAGATAAAGAAAAAAAAAAGATGTAGATGTCGATGCCGTGCTTGATGACTGCACACCTGGATAAACAGATAAAGGTGTTCTACATTTATGTAGACCATTTACAGTGCATCCAAATTCTTATTTAATTTACACAGAACCTAAAAAATAGTTTTCATAATATAAACTGTTTTATCGTCTATGTAGACTTTTTGCTTAATAAAAGCTACCTTTTAGATTGTGTTGACAGTCATGTTTATTGTGCATTATTTTCAAAGTGTTTATTGCTAAGTTTAGTGTGGCAAAATAGAAGTGCAGCCATAATTTGCGTGCAATGTATCTGGTTACCATGACAATAGCTTGGTAACCAGATATATTGCTTGCTGCTGCTGCTCTATGTTATCATAGTAAAATCAGTTGAATATGGTACACAGAGTGTGAATTTGTAGATTGTATCATCTGGATGTATCATCTGGAGTCCTAAACCAGATGATACATGAGGCCAGGGAGAAGAAAGGCGACCTGACAGTTGTCTGGCTGGACTTGGCTAATGCCTACTGGGTCCATCCCCCACGATCTAATCAGGACAGCTCTGAAGTACTACCATATCCCATCACATCAAGGCAATGATCAGCAGCTACCTGGATGGAATAAAGCTCTGTTTCAAAACGAAGGACTACATCACACAGTGGCAGCACCTCGAGAGAGGGATTGTCACAGGATGTACAGTTTCCCCTACCCTGTTCGTCATTGGCATGAACCTCATCATCAAAGCAGGAGAAAAGGAAACCAGAGGCCCGATGATGGACTCAGTGATCCAGCAACCAGCTATCAGGGGTTACATGGATGACCTTACAATCACAACATCATCCAATGTACAGGCTAGGTGGGTCCTAACAAAGCTTGATGGGGTGGCAAAGTGGGCCAGAATTACTTTTAAGCCAAGAAAATCAAGGAGCTTGGTCATTAGCAAGGGTAAAATCTCATTCAAGTACAATCTGGTCATTCAAGGCGAGATCATCCCTTCTATCAAGGACAACCCCATAAAGTATCTGGGAAAGTGGTACGACATTAAGGGACCACAACAACGTCCGCAGCACAGAGAAGCAAGCAGAGGGTTGGTTGATGAAATTTGACAAATCAGGACTCCCAGGCAAGTTTAAAACATGGCTTTAAACAACATGGCCTGCTTCCCAGACTGATGTGGCTGATGACAGTGTACGAGGTGGCTGGGTATCCCTCAGGACTTCACATCAGCCGGGCTGTACATCAGATCTGGGTAATTACAACTACCCCTCTCTTCCCTGGTTGAGGAGTTCCAAGTAGCGAAGTACAGGGTGGCCATGATTTTAACCCTCTAAGCGCCAAAGTTGCAAAATTGACGTCAAAAAGACGTCATACTTAATAAAATAGACTGTAGTTCCTAATGTGGTGCAATATCTCATTTGTATTCCCTACCACTAGATGGCAGACATGTAGTACTTCAATTCTAGACCAAAATTACGTCACGTTCCTATTTAAAGTGTTCGAGGAAATAGCAGAGCAAGTGAGCTATCGTGTCATTGATGCGGAAGCAGTTCAGTTCAGAGCGTGCGGGTAAGCTGTGAGATTTGTGAGAGAAAATCGCCAAATGGCTAATAAAAAGTTGTACCGTGAGGATGTGTTGCAAATGTTATTCGCCGATTCTGACTCTGAAGGGGAATATTTGCCTTTTGGAAATAACGATCGGTCATCTAATAATCGCGCTTCTCTCGGTACATCTTTGCAGCGCAATGGTGCCGCCGTGCAAGGCGAGAGTGTTCACGAAGCACAAACAAGTGATCTAATTTAGTACTTTCTCCTGTTTTATTGTTGGTTTCCTCTTTTCTGATCATTTGGAATGAGGATAAAAAGATTTTTAAAAAACATGCAAATAAGTTCAAACATCTATTCAATATCTACTATTTCCTGAATATTATGAAATTCAAGATGGCGTCATTCTCTGATGACGTCATACTATGCAAATTAGACGAGTATATTTACACCCCACATAAACTTTCGGTCATGCCCAACATTTTTCTAATTTACAGTAGATCTCTATCTTTAAGCCCTTTCAAGCCACAAGCTTTTGAAATCTTGATGTCAAAATCCAGCATTTTTCCCAAAAATCCCTGGCACCTAAAGGGTTAAGGGACTCAAGAGAAAACAAGGTCAGAGAAGCTGGAATAAAAACCAGGTCAGGATGGAAGCGGGAGGTCTCAGCATCTCTGGCTCTAGCAGAAGGGAACTTAAAGCTCAAAGACATCACTGGAGCACCATTCACGGTAAGGCAAGGCCTGGTAATGACCCGCTTCCAAAGGTGGGGTAAAGCCAACCCTTTGGAGAGAAGAGCCATGGTCCAGGTGAAATTAAGGGATCTTGAGGAAGAGCAGAGGAAGACAAAGGTTGTGGAGCTAGGAACCCAGGGAGCCTGGACAAGGTGGGATCTCCCCAAGAGGAAGATGACATGGGCTGACCTTTGGAGGCTCGAGCCATACCGGATCTCCTTCTTGCTTAGGGCCATCTATGGCACCCTTCCAACCTCTGTGAACCTACACAGATGGGTGATGAGGGACGACCCAACATGCAAGCTCTGGGGGCAAAATGGAACGATGGCACACATCTTGGCAGGATGTAAGACCGTGCTTGCCCTGGGCAGATACAGATGGTGCCGTGACAAAGTACTGGCTGTTCTAGCAGACATTCTAGAGCAGGAGAGGACAAGGAAATGTCAATATAGGAACAAGCCTCCACCTGGTATAACATTTGTCAAGGAGGGGACAAAACTACCAGGGCCCAACAAAACCAAGGTAAGCCTCCTGCAGTCTGCCCAAGCATGGGAGCTTAGGGTAGACCTGAAGAGAAGGCTCCAGTTCCCAGATATCATCCATACCACCTTATAACTCGACGCAGTCCTTTTCTCCACAGAAGGAAAGAAGATCATCCTAGTGGAGCTTAATGTGCCGTGGGAAGAGGGGTGGGAGGAGGAATTTGAAAGGAAGTCTGAACGCTATAAAGATCTGGTGCGGGACTGCAGGGACAAAGGCTGGCAGACATGGTTGTATCCAGTCGACGTGGGATGCAGGGGCTTCCCAGCCCTATCAGCCTGGAAGCTGATGACAGACGTTGGACTGAGGGGGACTGAGAGAAAGAAGGCTGTGCGAAGACTGGGGGAGGCAGCAGAGAGAGCCTCTTGCTGGATTTGGAGTAGGAGGGAGGAGTTGAGCTGGAAGCCAGGTGGGAGTGAGTAGTGGCTGGCCACCACTGATGACCCGCCAACAGGAGAGTGTTATGGTTACGGGTCGAAACACTTCAGGATCGTTGGTAACCATCTGATGACAAAACCTCCATTCATTGCAAAATGACTGAAGGAGAAGCATCTAATGATGTAAGATATCACTATAGCAAAACTAAAATGTGTTTAAAAGTGTGACTGAACAAATCAACAATTTAACTACGCCTATGGACATTACTTTAGTCCTCAGTGTCATGTGATCCTTTAGAAATAATTTGAATATGCTGAATTGATGGATTCCTCATTAAAATTCCTCATTATTAATTTTTTTCTTTTCTTTTACTTAAAGAAATAACATTTAGAAATAAAAAAGAAATAATTTTATTTTATAATTTTATTTTATTTCTTTTTATTTCTCAAAAGTTATTGCGCAGTGCTGAAAATTGCATGCTTACGAATCCTCATTATAACACACGAAGTGTAGACATTATGGAAGATTCATTGTGCATATATTCATTGTGTTATAACAGAGCTTTAGTCAGATTTTAAGTGATAATAAAGGGAGCGCTGGTCGTATTCTGCCATGCGAAATCATGCACACAGCAGCCCATGCTTGCTTTTCTGTTAAAAATAACAGTGAACAGTGGTTTGTGAATGTTGATGCTTAAATAATTTTATCAGGAGCGCTGGGTTTCCTGACGTTTTATCCTACCCGTCAGCAGAGGCGGACAAAGTACTCAACTCCATTACTTGAGTGAAAGTACAGATACTGCTGGTCAAATATTACTCCATTACAAGTAAAAGTTGTAAAGACATATTTTTACTTAAGTAAAAGTACAGAAGTGCTTGCTTTTAAAAGACGAGGAGCGAAGGAGCGAGGAGAGGTCGGAGAATACAGAAAATACAGACTTTATTCACACACATAGCATAGGTAACTTAGGACGATTAACACTGGACGCTAGACATGGGAAAACGCAGGGCTTAAGTACTCAGAACTAAACGAGGAGATTACCGGGACACAGCTGAAACAAATGGAACTCAATGGGAACAGGAACAGGAAAACCAAATATGGGCAGGAAAACCCGGGAGAAACTAGGTCATGGAAAACATGGAACACGTGGAGGAGGAAAACAAACACAAAACAGTCCATGGGCATGACACTAATAGGTAGAAAAGTGTATTTATTGTTGGCTTCCGGCCGTAGCTGTATCCCTTCTAGCCACAACCGCGAATAACATATAAGTACTGTATTTGCATTACTGTAAGGGTAGGTTTAGGGTTGTGGTTGGTGTTGACGTTAATAAACCATAATTTGACACGTAGCATTTTTCGTTGTCGAATTGTACTACCTACTGTTTTAATGGGAGGTAGCAAAATCTGACAGGGTAGCACAAATCGACAAAACACCATTCATGTGAGCGATGCAGCAGTCTTTAGGCCCACCCCAAATGCTCTCATTGGTTGAGACGCATGATGACGCCTATCCCAAGCCAGTACTGATCAACATCCCACCCCTCATGTGACCCATGGTTTGTCTGTATGTGAATTAGAGCCAGTGAGCAACGGACTTTCATGATAATAATAATAATAATAATAAACTGCGTTCGCGCGCGATAAAATAATTGTCGGCATTAATTAATTAATTATTTACATTTAATTAATGTGTTAACGCAATAATAACGCGTTATCTTCCCAGCCCTAATATATTATATATATATATATATATATATATATATTCACACACACACACACACACACACACACATACATATAAATGTAGCAATGGTAACACTTTAGAATAGGAAACACATTCACTATTAATTAAGAGTTTTCCCTCAATAAACTGCTAATTTGCTGCTTATTAATAGTTAATAAGGTAGTTTTTAAGTTTAGGTATGGGGTAGGATTAAGGGATTTAAAATTGGTTCATGCAGAATAAAGCATTAATATGTGCTTTATAAGTACTAATAAACAGCCAATGGTAGTAATATGCATGCTAATAAGCAGCTAGTTAATAGTGAGAATTGGTCC